TATGTATTCATGTTGCTCTGCTGGAGGAGGACTTCAGGTTGTCATTGACACATCTCCTCTGTAGCTGCTGAGCTCGTGATGAGAGAGTCTTGAGTCTTGAGTCTTGAAAGCAGGGTTTTTATTCTTAATTACAGAAGCAGCAGCAGAGAGTCACATTTTAAATCTGTTTCAGGTTGCTCTGCTGGACTTTGGAGCCACGAGAGGATTTGATAAAAGCTTCACCGACTCTTACATCGAGGTGAGCGGCCGAACAATACTTCAATACTTCAACTACACGTAAACATATCGTGGGATTGAAGACTGATTGTATGCATCATTCCTCTTCAGATCATTAATGCAGCGGCACACAACGACAGAGAAGGAGTTCTGAAGAGATCCAGAGAGATGAAGTTCCTCACAGGATACGAGTCCAAGGTACAAATACACAGACGTCAGTACAAATACTGCAGATTAAAATACTGCATGTGGAAATCTACATACTATCCTAGCAGATTCAGAAAACCAGAGGTGGGAGAAGTACTCGGAGCTTGTTCTTGAGTTAAAGTAGAAGTACTCAGATCTTGTTCTTGAGTAAAAGTAGAAGTACTCAGATCTTGTACTTGAGTAAAAGTAGAAGTACTCAGATCTTGTACTTGAGTAAAGTAGAAGTACTCAGATCTTGTTCTTGAGTAAAAGTAGAAGTACTCAGATCTTGTACTTGAGTAAAAGTAGAAGTACTCAGATCTTGTACTTGAGTAAAAGTAGAAGTACTCAGATCGTGTACTTGAGTAAAAATAGAAGTACTCAGATCTTGTACTTGAGTAAAAGTAGAAGTACTCAGATCTTGTACTTGAGTAAAAGTAGAAGTACTCAGATCTTGTACTTGAGTCAAAGTAGAAGTACTCAGATCTTGTACTTGAGTAAAAGTAGAAGTACTCAGATCTTGTACTTGAGTAAAAGTAGAAGTACTCAGATCTTGTACTTGAGTAAAAGTAGAAGTACTCAGATCTTGTACTTGAGTAAAAGTAGAAGTACTCAGATCTTGTACTTGAGTAAAAGTAGAAGTACTCAGATCTTGTTATTGAGTAAAAGTAGAAGTACTCAGATCTTGTACTTGAGTAAAAGTAGAAGTACTCAGATCTTGTACTTGAGTAAAAGTAGAAGTACTCAGATCTTGTACTTGAGTAAAAGTAGAAGTACTCAGATCTTGTACTTGAGTAAAAGTAGAAGTACTCAGGTCTTGTACTTGAGTAAAAGTAGAAGTACTCAGATCTTGTACTTGAGTAAAAGTAGAAGTACTCAGACCTTGTACTTGAGTAAAAGTAGAAGTACTCAGATCTTGTACTTGAGTAAAAGTAGAAGTACTCAGATCTTGTAATTGAGTAAAATTAGAAGTACTCAGATCTTGTACTTGAGTAAAAGTAGAAGTACTCAGATCTTGTACTTGAGTAAAAGTAGAAGTACTCAGATCTTGTACTTGAGTGAAAGTAGATGTACCAGAGTGTAGGAATACTCAGTTTGTATATACTTGAGTACATTTACTTAGTTACTTCCCACATCTGGCATTAAGTAGTATAAAGTAGAGTGTAAATCCATTCAAACTATTTTGTTACAACATCCCAAATGTTTCAGGAAATGTTAATAAAGGTAATGCCATAAGCTGTCATATGTATGTCTTTTTATTTAGAGGGAGGGGCACACAGGGGGTTTCAAATGCTAAACTGAAATGAGTAATATTCACATGCCGTAGGGACTTCCGCCGCTTGCACCACCAGGTGAAGAGGTCATTCTTGTGTAATTCTAAAATTTCTAGAATTGCACAAGTTGTAACAACACATTTTGTGTAACAGAGTTGAAAGGCAGGATGTCGTTTGGGAAAAGCCCGTTTGAGCCAGAGAATGGACTTCATATCTAGTTTGAAGCCTTTTTCCATATCGATCTGGTTTACATGCTCTTATGCTCTTAATTTGACTGATATTTAAAAGATTCTGCGTCTCTTTTCCCACAGCCTTGCTATTGGCTCAGTGAGCGGCCATGCGCAGCAGTGTCCTGACCTGTGTCTGATCTGGGTGGACGCTCACGCAGACATCAACACGCCCATGAGCTCTCCTTCAGGAAACCTCCACGGACAGCCCGTCGCATTCATGCTCAAAGAGCTGACGGACAAGGTGAGCAGGAATTAGAGGCAAAGCTTGTTTTATTTATAATGGGCACATGGATAAAAGGTTATGTAATTCACCGTGTTCTGATTAAGCATGACTTCCTCAGTTTCAACGTAAAACGAATAAACTACTATTAGAATTCTTGTTTTACAAAAGGTGTATGAAGTAATTGAGGAACTGCAACACTGACAGAACTTCTTGTTTTGCAAAATTGGCAGATTATGGGGTCATAAGCTCCTGTGCACTGAAATCTGAGACTTGCAGAAGCACTTCAATTATTAAACGAATGAGCTAAACTTATCTATCCAAAAGAAAACGGTTAAAAAAAAACTTGTAATAATTCAAGCTCATCATTTTATTCCCATGTTTTTTTATTCCCACTATATTAGTATAGTTGTAATTATCAGAATGTTATATATTTGATATTTTTTGTTGAGTTTTAACTTATTAAGCAATATGTAAATGTGTTTGCAAAGGGCAAAATATTATAATTGTTGTAATTATTATTATTAAATATGTATAAAATATTTAAAATAATGTAATTATTATTATTATTTGTATTATTATTCAAAGTCTCCCAGACACCCAGAATGAAAGAGATAGAAACATTAAAAAAATTCTAATTCTAATTCCATAAATGGTCAGATATCACCCAATGGTGGATGTTTTCTCGTCCCTGTCTCTTCCATATAACCTTAACTCCGGTTCCCCACAGATGCCAGATATCCCAGGGTTCTCCTGGACGAAGCCCTTCCTCTCCTCAAGCGACCTCGTGTACATCGGCCTGCGAGACGTTGACCCCGGAGAGTAGTGAGTACATGCTATCACCTCCAAAACGCTTATCAGATGTCCTCGATACTAACCTGATCCCCCATGTGGAAATAGATGTTAATGTTATTCTGATGTTGTTTATCGCAGCCACCTCCTAAAAAACCTGGGCATCCAGTACTTCACCATGAGGGACATCGACCGACTGGGCATCCAGAGAGTCATGGAGGTCACTCTGGACCACCTCCTGTCCAGGCATGTGGCTTTGTTTACTTCATTTCTGTTTTGTTTATGTGCTAAATGTCTGTTTTTTCATCTTAAATCCTCCCACCTGTAAAACTGTAAAGTAACTAAAGCTATTAAATAATTGTAGTGGAGTAGAAGTACAGAGTAAAGTACAAAATTGTACTTAAAGGTGGGGTAGGTAAGTTTCAGAAACCGGCTCGAGTGCACTAAAATTTGAAAGTACTGTAGTGGCAATTTCTTGTTTTACCTTATTTGCTAAAACCAAAAGCTTCTGAAAGCATTGTCTAACACTACTGTACCATGTCTTCATCCATGCTGTTTCCTCTGCATACTCTAATGAGGTTTATTATTCTCAAGCGCTTCAAGGCCACAGGGCTGATTTGGCAGACTATGTTGAAACTACTCCTTTTAACCCTAAGTTTGAACTTCCATATTTTGATGACTGTTGTTCTTTCTATGGCTTAAGGACACAGGTGTCCTAATAGCGATATGAGACCGTGTGAAAGTGGATTTCTGAGGCCATGCTACACAAAACTTTGTCTGCCCGCCCTATCTTGTATATAAGCTTTGCTATTTTGTGACTATTGCGCACACTCCTGCAGACTACTCTGTACTCTGTGAGACATGTACCTTTGAAGCTTCAAATAAATAACCAGAAGACAACGCTGCCTGCTTTCACCAGTTTATCATTGATTACTCTCATTGTACATCTTTACGGTATTGACGAGTTTATAATATCCACAACAGTACACAGGCAAAAAGAATCCGCCCCTTCCTTCAGACTTCCTTACAGAGCACCTCCTCCGCGAGAGCAGGCTGCAGTAACGTTACATATCGGGCAAAGCTAAACACATCTATAGCAATACTACACAGCCAAAGCAACTCTGGTTTGACTTCTACTAGTTTCCACTTTCTTTTTGTTCTTAATTTGCTCCGTTACATTTTTTCTTTTGCGACCAGTAGACGATGTTGAACCTAACTCTGCCATGGTGAAAGTGGCTGCCTGTTGCTGGCGAGTCGTTGAAGTACTGCTGCAATGAGGGCACGCCCAATGAGGGCACGCCCAATGACGGCACGCCCAATGAGGGCACGCCCAATGACGGCACGAGATACATTTGTGCGTGCACGAGATGGAAGGCTGACAGACAGGGCGGCAATCCAATCCGTTTA